GCCTTGAATACAAGGCTTCTCCTGATTGGCTGAGATAGATTGTGACATCATCTGCCCACCTCTCCACCTTGCCAAATAAGAACAAGCTTTGTATTCACTGCTAAAAATACAAGGTTTCCTCTGGTTGAGAAGCAGAACTTGGTTTTGTTCAGGCAGCAGACAGGAAGCTGCCCGTATTGTTGTGGAACACGGGGCCACTTACTGTATGTAGCGGATACTACTAGATCATAATACATTTCCTGCAACAGCCAAATAACATTGAACTTCTTATCTGTGTTTTTATGTGTGTATGTATATGTATGTATGTGTGTGTATGTATGTATGTATGTATGTATGTGTGTATATATATATATATATATATATATATATATATATATATATATATATATATATATAATATACTGTTAGGTCCATATATATTTGGACACAGGCACAATTTTAGATTTTTTTTTTAGGTATTTACCAAAACATAATCAAGCTATAGTTATATGATGGATATGGACTGAAAGTGCACACTCTCAGATTTAATTTGAGGGTATGTACATCCAAATTGGAACAAGTTTTTAGGAATTACAGTTCTTAAGATTAGCCATCCCCCCTTTTTCTAGGGACCAAAAGTAATTGGACACATGAATATAATCATAAATAAAATGTTCATTTTTAATATTTTGTTGAGAATCCTTTACTGGCAAAGACTGCCTGAAGTCTGGAACCCATGGACATTACCAAAGACTGGGTTTCCTCCTTTCTGATACTTTGCCAGGCTCTAATTGCAGCTGTCTTCAGTTGTTCTTTGTGGGTTTTTCTACCTTTTTAGTTTTGCCTTCAGCAAGTGAAATGCATGCTCAATTGGGTTGAGATCAGGGGATTGACTTGGCCATTGCAGATTATTCCACTTCTTTTCCTTCAAAAGCTCCTGGGTTGCTTTTTCAGTGTGTTTTGGATCATTGTCCATCTGTACTGTGAAGCGCTGTCCAATCAACTTTGCTGCATTTGACTGTATCTGGACTGACATTATACATATATTATGTATCTCTAAACACAGCAGAATTCATCCGGCTGCTTCTGTCCTCTGTCACATCACCAATAAACACCAATGACCCAGTGCCACTGGAAGCCATGCATGCCCATGCCATCACACTGCCTCCACCATGTTTTACAGATGAAGTTGTGCTTTGGATCATGAGCTGTTCCAAGCTCCACACTTTTTTTTTTTTTTTTTTCTTTCCGTCATTCTTGTTCAAATTAATCTTAGTTTCAACCATCCAAAGAATACTTTTCCAGAACTGGTTTGGCTTTTTTAGATGTGTTTTGGCAAAGTCTAATCTGGCTTTTCTATTCTTCAGGTTTATGAATGGTTTGCACATTGTGGTGAACCTTCTGTATTTGCTCTCATGAAGTCTTCTCTTGATTGTAGACTTTGACAATGATACGCTCACCTCCTGGAGAGTGCCCTTCACTTGTCTGGATGTTGTGAATGGGTTTTTCTTTACCATGGAGAGGATCATGCGATCATCCACCACTGTTGTCTTCCGTGGACGTCCATCCCTTTTTATGTTGCTGAGCTCCCCAGTGTGTTCGTCTTTCCTCATAATGTACCGAACTGTTGATTTGGCCACTCTTAATGTTGCTGCTATCGCTCTGATGGATTTGTTTAGCTTTTGAATCCTTACAATGGCCTGTTTCACTTGCATGGACAGTTCCTTTGATGTTGGTTCACAGCAATAGATTCCAAATGGAAATACAACACTTAGAATCAACTCCAGACCTTTTACCTGCTTAATTGATGAAGAAATAACGAAGGAGTACCCCACACCTGGCCATGAAACAGCTTTTGATTCAATTGTCCAATTACTTTTGGTCCCTTGAAAAACGGGGGATGGCTACTCTTAAGAGCTGTAATTCCTAAACTCTTCCTTCAGTTTGGATGTACATACCCTCAAATTAAACCTGAGGATGTGCATTTTCAGCCCATATCCATTATATAATTATAGCTTGAATATGTTTTTTGTTAAATACCTGAAAAAAACTAAAATGTGTGTCCAAATATATATGGACATAACTGTGTGTGTGTGGATAGATAGAGAGATAGGTGTGTGTGTGTGTGTATATATATATATATATATATATATATATATATATATATATATATACAGTTGCAAGAAAAAGTATGTGAACCCCTTGGGATTACATGGAGTTTTGCATGAATTGGGCATAAAATGTGCTCTGAACGTCATCTAAGTCACAACAATAGAAGAACACAGTCTGCTGAAACATAATACTACACAACCATTAGATGTTGCCATGTTTTAATTGCACATAACATGTAAACATTCACAGTGCAGGAAGGAAAAAGTATGTGAACCTTTGGACTTAACTGGTTGACTCTCCTTTGGCAGCAATAACCTCAACCAAACGTTTTCCTGTAGTTGCAGATCAGACCTGCACAACGATCTGGAGTAATTTTGGACCACTCCTCTTCACAAAACTGTTTCAGTGTAGCAATATTCTTGGGATGTCTGGTGTGAATCGCTCTCTTAAGGTCATGCCACAGCATTTCAATCGGGTTTAGGTCAGGACTCTGACTGGGCCACTCCAGAAGGTGTATTCTGTGCTGTTGCAGCCATTGTTTTGTTGAATTACTTGTTTGCTTTGGGTCATTGTCCTGTTGCATCACCCATCCTCTGCAGAGCTTCAGTTGGCGGACAGATGGTCGTACGTTTTCCTGCAAAATGTCTTGATAAACTCTGGAATTCATTTTCCCATCAATGACAACAATCCATCCAGGCCCTGAGGCAGCAAAGCAGCCCCAAACCATGATGCTCCCTCTGCCATGTTTTTACAGTGGGGATGAGGTTTTGATGTTGGTGTGCTGTGCCTTTTTTTCTCCACACATAGTGTTGTGTGTTCTTCCCAAACAACTCAATCTTGGTTTCATCTGTCCACAGTATATTTTGCCAGTAGGGCTGTGGAACATCCAGGTGCTCTTTTGCAAACTTCAAACGTGCTGCAATATTCTTTTTGGACAGCAATGGCTTCCTCCGTGGTGTCCTCCCCTGTACTCCATTCTTGTTTAATGTTTTCCTTATTGTAGATGTGTCAACAAAAATGTTAGCATGTGCCAGAGATTTCTGTAGGTCTTTAGCTGACACTTCTGGGATTCTTCTTTACCTCATGCAGCATTCTGCGCTGTGCTCTTGCAGTCATTTTTACAGGACGACCACGCCTAGGGAGAGTAGCAACAGTGCTAAACTTTCTCCATTTGTAGACAGTCTGTCTTACCGTAGACACATGAACATCAAGGCTTTTGGAGATAACCCTTTCCAGCTTCATGCAGGTCAACAATTCTTGATCGTAGGTCTTCTGAGAGCTCTTTTCTGCGAGGCATGGTTCACATCAGACAGTGTTTCTTGAAACCAGTAAACCCAAAACAGGTGTGTGTTTTTTTAAGGGCAGGACAGCTGCTGTCAGCAACACATCCAATATCATCCTACTGATTGGAGTCAAGGTTGGCTCATTCCTGGCTCCAATTAGCTCTGGGAGAAGTCATTAAGCTAGGGCCTCACATACTTTTTCCTCCCTGCACTGTGAATGTTTACATGTTATGTGCAATTAAACCATGGCAACATCTAATGTTTGTGTAGTATTATGTTCAGCAGACTGTGTTCTTCTATTGTTGTGACTTAGATGATGTTCAGAGCACATTTTATGCCCAATTCATGCAAAACTCCACGTAATCCCAAGGGGTTCACATACTTTTTCTTGCAACTGTGTGTGTGTGTGTGTGTGTGTGTGTGTGTGTGTGTGTGTGTGTGTTTTTAATTAATTTTTAAAGTGTTCACTATAGCTGGTCTCCCATAGTACACAGAAATGCAATTATTTTAGTAAATATAAACTGCTAAATACCTTTTCTCGTCAGCAGTATGTACAGTAGCAGTCTTGTGTCTTCTATCTGTATCCAGTTGAGCACTGGTTAAAGCTTGTAGGAGTTTTCATTCTGCTCCGCCTGTCCTATGAGGCTGCATAACCCGTGACCCTCTGCCTGGACATTGCTGATTGGCCCTGTGTTGATCACCTGCACTTGCCCAAAGAAAAAAAAAAAAACCTCTCTAGCAATACACACTAAACTTAGCATGTGCAGAGTGACCCACAAAGCTCTGTACTATCAGCAGATGGGTTGGGGACAGTAGAAGGGTAGGATCAGAGAACACAGGATCAAACAGCCTTTTTACACAATGCAGATGATTAACCCCTTAGGTTCCACAGTGAGTATAACAAGCATGCTTTACAGCATATACAGACTGATTTTACTGTTGTGGGTTTAGTAACATTTTAAATCCTATTTGAAGTCTCTATTTATTACTATAATTGTACAGTTGGCCTTATGTTGTAAAGCGCTGTGTAAACTGTTGGCGCTATATAAATCCTGTATTATAATAATAATGCCGTCAGACTGTATATACAGTAGTAAATACTCTGTATTTTTAGGGATTTTTTTTTTTTATAGTTTTCCAGTGCTGCATACTTTGTGCTGGGTGCACCTTAGAGAGTCAGACTGCTGTTCTCATTCACAGAAGCCCATCACCTCCCCTTGCACATGGCTGCATTCAGCAGTGTTACTCAAGGAGTTGGAGCACTTTCTAGAGCAGCCTTTCTCAACTAGGGTGCCCAGAGGTTTCTTCAGGGGTGCCTTGGCAAAATGTATAAAAGTTGTCCAAAATTATGTATACAAGCCAGCAGGTGGAACAAGCCTGCCTTTTAACCACTAGCCTACAGGGCACTTATATCCCCTTTCTGCCCAGGCCAATTTCCAGCTCTCAGCGCTGTCACACTTTGAATGACAATTGCGCAGTCATGCAACACTATACCCGTATGAAATTTTTATCATTTTTTTTGTGACAGAGCTTTATTTTGGTGGTATTTAATCACCTCTGGGTTTTTTTATTTTTTCTTAAACCAAAAACCACTAAAAATTTTGAAAAAAAAAAACAGTTTTTGTTATAAAATTTTGTAAATAAGTGATTTTCTCCTTCACTGATGTGCGCTAATGAGGCTGTAGTGATGGCCACTGATAAGATGCACTGATGGACACTGATAGGTGGCAGGTGGCACTGATGAGAAGGCACTGGTAGGTGGCATTGACAGGCATCACTGATGGGCACTGAAAGGCAGCAGCACTGATATATGGCACTGTTAGGCGGGCACTGACTGGCAGCACTGATAGGTGGCACTGATTGGCACTGATGGGTGACACTGAAAGGCAGCTCAGATGGGCACTGATGTGCACTGGTAGGCACTGATATGTGGCATTGATGTAGCACTGATGGGCACTGGCAGGTGGCACTGTTCAGCACTGACAGCTGGCACTGATGGACACTGACAGGTGGCACTTCTGGGGCCACACTGATCATCGGGGCACACTGATAATCAGTGCCCTGATGATCAGTGTACCTGTCCTCTCCGCAGAAAGCCGATTACTGGCTCTCCTCTCGAGCTGTCAGCGTGACAGCTCGAGAGGAGAGAAATGCCGATAACCGGCATTTCCCTGTTTTACATGTGATCAGACACAGCTCATCACATGACCGAGCCGACATCTTCGGCTCTTTCCGTGGATCGGTGATCCGCTGTGTCCGAGGGACACAGCGCACCGCCGATCGCTGCGCTGCACGCTCCCTGAGCCGCGCATGCATGGTGAGAATAGAAGGACGTCGTATGACGTCCTATCAAAATGAGAGAACCACCTTCCGCCCGTCATTAGACTATATGGCGGGCGGGAGGTGGTTAATAACACAAAATCGCAGGTTTTCATTGTGCACCATTATGACCTTCTACCCGTCAGCTGCCTGCACAACGTCCTAGTTTGACCCTTTCCTGCCCCTCTCCATCAGTGCTGGGGTCACCTTAGCTCAGTAATGGAGAAAAACTGAGGAAGAAGAGAAACCTAGGAATACTAATCAGTACCAATGTGCAAAAGTGTATTTGCTTTGGAAGAATAAATCACCTCTAATGTTGGGTGTCCTACATGTGTGGATGTTTCTGCATTATATTAAACGTTTGGAATAGTCTTTCACATTTTAGAATGGGGTGCCTCAAGACTCTCCATGATTTTAAAGGGTGCCTCAGGACTGTCTATAACTTTAAAGGGTGCCTTGAATGACAAAAAGGTTGAGAAACACTGGTCTGGAGCAGTATGCAGGGGAGCTTGTAGGTCCACTGGAGACATAGGCCACTGCTCGTGGGGGAGAGCAGCAGTCCAACTCTCCAAGGTGCTCTACTGTATGTGGAGCCTTATTGCATTCTAGTAATATGCAGGCTTTGATGCGTTGAAGCCTGTGGTCACTATGACAGCAAGACATTTTCTGATAATGTTTGAGATCAGCCTCCATGGCTTTTGCCATATTCCTTTCCTAGCAAACTACCAAGCTGCTTTTATTTATGTGATTCTGGAACCCATATTAAAATTAGTGTCAGATTCATTCCTCATCGGCGTTCCATTTTGGAGTGGTTTTGATTCTTTTGTCAGTTAGATTACAGTCATGCGTCAGCAGTTTGAATTGCCTGTTTGTGCAATGTTAAAAGAGCATGACTAACATTCTTATGATTTTCATTACAATATACATTACCTCAAAAGAGTAGCATGGTCTGTTGATTTCAGGTTTCTGCTTTCCGTACCTTTCTGCTGGTGATGTGTATCTGTGGGTAAAGATAAAAGAAATGTTTGCAGAAAGATGAGGAGGACAAAATGTCTTATTAAACGTAAATAGGATGGGACTGAAGCAGATGTGATCAGAGGGCAATGTAGCTATTCAGAAGATACATAAAAGTTTACTACAAAGGATCATAAACTGCTGCAAGCAAACTTGACACGACTTGATATTTCACGTTTGGGAATTAAGCGGAACTACTCTATACTATTCTTTCCTCTGGCAATGTGATGCCTGTTTGGTCCAATGCTGGCATTGACGACATTGTCTTGTTGTCTTCTGGGTTTTGTTGTCTTCTGGGTTTGAATATTTGGCCATGTTTATTATCTTTGCCCAGTCATCTTTTAGTTTTGGATATTTGGCCATCTTGATTGACAGACTTTGCCACAATTGCATACAGTAGCTCCAGAGCATGCATTGGAGTTAGTTTATCCCTGAAAATGCCAAAATTGTACATTGCGAACAGGCGGATAAGAACCTTTTATTGCACAAGGGACATGGTATATCATCTTCTGCAATAAAATGTATGCTTGTTTGCAAATTGATTTGTTTGGTAAATTTCAATGTTAAGGCTTAGTTCACACTAGCTTTGAAAGCAGGCGCTTGAGGGACGATTTTTAACGCTCCTCAAACGCCTATGGAAATGATACTATGGGCGGCACACAGTGCTGTTCACATTATCAAAACATGAAGTGTTAGTGTGGCATCTCTTCAAAATTGAGTTGAAGCCTTTCAACGCCTCCCATTCAAGGTTATGGTGACGCTCCTCAAACACCTGGCAGATGTTTGCGGGGTGTTTCCAAGGCGATTGCAGGGCGTTAATACCATTAGAGGTTTATAGGCATTTGTACTGTGGTTTTAACGCTTGTAAAACACCTATAAAATGCCTCAAAACCGCACATAGAGCATTTGGGGAACATTTTTTTAAAGCTTTTAGAACGCGCATACTGAAGCTCATTAATGCCTGTCTAACGCTATAGGGGCGTTTTTGAAGAGTTAGAAATTGTCATGTGTGAACAAGCCCTAAGAGAGGCCTTTTCTCCTTGTTTTTGTGATGAGCTGGATATGTATAGGAGATTTAATTGAAAATTACTTAATTTGAATGTCTACACTCAGTCTACCACAGGTTCCTCTCCTGTAGTGAAATCGCTTTCTCTTAATTCCACTGTACAGTGTGCTGTAGAAACTGCAGCAGTAGTAGAGCTTTTTCCAGGCTGGAGGATGTCCAACTTCATCCAGTTTTTAGTCATTGAGGTCTCAATCCCACACATGGGCATTACCTAGGGTAGTCCTCATGCAAATGCAGCCTGCCTAGAAACACCAAATCCCTCCAGACTGGCATCCACCCATCAACACATTTTGACTTTGCATTACTCCACCAAGGAGCCAACCTACCCTTACAGCACAACTGGGGGCTCTTGAGAGTAAATGGGTTCTGTGATGTTTTTAGGAAGCTATGTATGGCATCCTTCTGGCCCCTCCCAACAACCATGATTTTCCTGTGTTGCATACAGAAATACAGAGACCTTGTGATGATGTCACTGGGTTTAAAGGAAGGTATACAAAATTTTACCAAGTTTTATTTCAAAATTACATTAGCTTGTTATTGGGGTGGGAGGAACCCGCAAAAGCAAAATATAATCAGATAAAACTTCAGCTTTAATATCCACCACTTTGTAGCATACAGTTCCCTGGTGGCAGACAAAGCCACCAAAAGGAACCTATTCAAAAACCGTTTTGGGGCCCTATTGAACTACTGCCTACACACAAACACTGGTTTGCTATGCATAGATGGATAGCTAGACTAGATAATTGATAGATGCAGATGAAGAGTGACCTTTGCAATACCCTGAACCAGGGGCGAACTGACAACTCATGGGGCCCACGGGCAATAGGGGATCATGGGGCCCCTGTGTCCTTGCCCAAACTCAAAAAAGCCTATGAAAAAGGTACCAGGGGCATCTCATGGGGCCCCCTACTGACCCCGGGCCCTCAGGCAGTGCCTGAGTTTCCAAATGGTCAGTCCGCCCCTGCCCTGAACTCTCTTATACATACTGTGCAACAGTAAACACTCGCTTCCAATTCCATTTCAAATGATGGCACATGGAACAGCAGTATTGTGCATGTCCCAGTGCCAGTCAAGCAGGTATATAAGAGGAGGTTCCCTCTACCTAACATCACACCCAATAGCATATCATGAACAATGCCTCCAGTTCCTTACCTGCCTTCGAAATAAACAATATCTAGGTATACATGACAGTAGGCGTTGGCCCAGCCCACCCACATCTAATATAAGAATGTTCCTAATTTCAACAGGCTCCTTTGTGAAGCTCCGTAAGCACAAATGGCTTGTCCACACTAACTTCCCAACTTTCTCAATGATTGTGGGACGTGTCCTAAACTCTGCTTGATGCAATGGTTGTCTTTTACCAGAATATAATGGGTTTCTAAAAATAGAGATGATATCAAACCATGAAAGGCTGGTCATGGATAGCAGGTATCTTTCCATTCTTGGTAGCATTGCTCCAGCACTGGTAACAAGAATTGCACTTTATCTTTCCTTCTCTGCCCACATGGAAATTATGCAACAATCTCCTTATGCATACTGAATGTCAGAATTGCTCATTTTATGCCCTGTAGTGGAAACCTGAGTAAACCATTTGGCTCAAAAGAAAAGGTTCAAAATTGGTGGCGTTTTGTTTTTCGGATTCTTTGCTTAACCTTGTTTGATATTTTTCCAGCTTTGTTTTCTAGTTTGAATACTAGTAGCTGGATGGACCTACCATGAGCTGTAGTTCATTAGTAGAGCTTCCAGAATTTGTCTGCAGAAAGATTTCTCATTGGATAAACTATTTACAGAATGTTACACTTCCTTGAAATCTTATAACCTAATAATGGGTGTTTCCTCACACACAATTTCTGACGTGCTGTCAGAGAGGAAATCTCTTTTCCATGCAAAGTATATGCTTTCTCTGTAACTGAACCTCTTTAATGAGATGATTGTAAATGCCATAACATTTCCTGTAGTCCTAGGATTAACTAAGTAAGGCTCCAGTGTTCTACGTGGCATATCTGCCTTCTTGTCGTAGGTCATTGTTCCAAAGCAGTAGTTTTGCTGTATTTTCAGGTTACTAAATCATGTTTGGTAGATTGCTGAATGTAATACGGACTTTAACTCTCAAATTAACATTGGAATTGGAATGCTCCTCATTTAAAATGTAATTTGGCTAAAACCTGTGTTTCTGTTTTGGATGGATGCCAATGGTTAGACACATATAATAGATTAGGAGGAGCTAACCTCACACTACAGCGCTAGTGTAGGTCCATGTGCAGGTACATAAGAAAGGCTTATAGGAATCTCCAATCCAGTCTGGTCACATGATAACCCCTCTGTCCGCCAGCGGCAGCTGCTGCTGAAGGAAGAGAGTGCACAACAATAGCTGCTAATGCCTGGCAGTGGTGATCTCCCCTATAGGGTCCCATGGGCCATCCATGGTCAGAACTCCCTTCTCTCCCCTGCAGTTGCTGCTGGCTGACACATGGGAGCTGGATCACATGACCGGACCAGAGAGGCCTGAAAATAGGTAAGTATATACTGGACATCTTTCCTACACAGGTTAGTCAGCTTAGGTGTTAGGAGGACAGAGGGAG